ATCTCTCTCAGTATTTTCTAATTTCCTTTATGATGTCTTCTTTGACTCATGGGTTAAAAGTATATTGTTTAACTGTCACATACTTGTGAATTTTCCAGTTTTACTTCTGTTATAGATTTCTACTACCTTCATTCCACTGCAATCAGAGAAGATATCTTATATGGTATCACATTTAAAGTCTACTGAAGCTTTTCTTTTGGCCCAACACATGGTCTATTGTACAAAACGTCCTGTGTATACTTACGAATGTATATTCTGTGCTGTTGTTGGGTAGACTATATTATGTGTGTGTGTGTGTGTGTGTGTGTGTGTGTGTATATAATCTGCTAGGTCTAATTAGTTTATTGCATTGTTCAGGTCCTCTATTTGTTACTCATCTTATGTCAAGTTGATTTATGCATTATTGAAAGTAGTGTATTGAAATCTCCAACTATTCTTGTAGAAATGTTTATTTCTCTCTCCAATTTTTTTCAATTTTTGCTTCATATATTTTTTTAAAAGATTTATTTATTTATTTGAGAGAGAGTGGTGGGAAGGGCAGAGGGAGAGAATCTCAAGCAGACTTCCTGCTAAGCATGGAACCTGACAAGGTGCCTAGATTTCACAACCTTGAGATCATGAGCTGAGCTGAAATTAAGAAATAGATGCTCAACTGACTTAACCACCCAGATGCCCCAATTTTTGTTTCATAGACTATGAGGGGCTGTTAATAGTTACATATACGGGGGCGCCTGGGTGGCTCAGTGGGTTAAAGCCTCTGCCTTCGGCTCAGGTCATGATCATAGGGTCCTGGGATCGAGCCCCGCATAGGGCTCTCTGCTCAGCAGGGAGCCTGCTTCCCCCCCCCTCTCTGCCTGCCTCTCTGCCTCCTTGTGATCTCTGTCAAATAAATAATAATAAAATCTTAAAAAAAAAAGAAAAAAGTGTTGCTTTAAAAAAAAAAAGTTACATATACGTTTATACAATTAACCCTTGAACAATGTAGGAGTTAGGGGTGCTGACACTCTACACTAGTCAAAAATCTACATGTAAAGATTGTCTCCCTAAAAACTTTACTAATAGCCTACTGTTGACCAGAAGCCTTGCTGATAACATACACTGTTAATTAACACATACTTTGTATGTCATGTGTATTACATACTATACTCTTATAGTATGTAAAGAAAAGAAAATGTTATTTAAAAATCATAGGAGGGGCGCCTGGTGGCTCAGTGGGTTAAGCCTCTGCCTTTGGCTCAGGTCGTGATCTCAGGGTCCTGGGATCGAGCCCCGCATTGGGGTCTCTGCTCAGCAGGGAACCTGCTTCCCCCTTTCTCTCTGCCTACTTGTGATTTCTCTCTGTCAAATAAATAAATAAAATCTTAAAAAAAAAATCATAGGGGGGCACCTGGATGGCTCAGTGGGTTAAAGCCTCTGCCTTGGGCTGGGATCATGATCCCAGGGTCCCAGGATCGAGCCCCACATCGGGTTCTCTGTTCAGCAGGGAGCCTGCTTCCCCCCTCTCTCTCTGCCTGCTGCTCTGCCTACTTGTGGTCTCCCTCTCTCTGTCAAATGAATTTAAAAAATCATAGGAGAGGGGCACCTGGGTGGCTCAGTGGGTTGAAGCCTCTGCCTTCGGCTGGGGTCATGATCCCAGGGTCTTGGGATCGAGCCCACATTGGGCTCTCTGCTCAATGGGGAGTCTGCTTCCCCTCCCCCCTCTCTCTGCCTGCCTCTCTGCCTACTTGTGATCTCCATCTGTCAAATAAATAAATCTTTTTAAAAAATCATAGGAGAAAATAATATTTATAGTACTCTAGTGGGGATGTAAGTATAACTGGAGTATACGAAACTGTATTCATATCAGTCAGCCTAGGATTTATTTTAGCCAAATTCTGCAGATTAGGAACAAATAAACTGGAAAGAGATGAGAGTTTACTCAGCTTGAGATTTGGAGGTATTAGAGGTATAAAATAAGTCTAAGAGCAAGAATCTAGAATTCAATAAAAATTTATAAGACACAAACTAACAAGAAAATTAAAATTTTTAATAAAAAAATAATGCAAAAAAAACCCCCAAACAAACAGAAGGATATATACATCAGATCACCCACCTATTGGCATGATCACACAATGGACTTTAAAATAACCATGATTAGATTAATATGTTGAAGGAATTCATGGAAAGGAGAACATGCATGATAAAAAAACTTCAGCAGGAAAAAGAGAACTATTAATAAGAAGTCAAATGGTAATACAAAATTTATAAAGCACAATTATCAGAAATGGAAAATTTCCGTGATGAGCTTATCAGGAGACTGGACACAACTAAAAATGAACAAGGGTCAATCAAAATTATCCAATGTGAATTACAAAGAGAAAAAGTAGAAAAAAAAAATCAGATCATCTAAGAGCTGTGAGATATTAACAAATGATCTAATATACATGTAATTGGATCCCAGAAGTAGGAACAAACAAGAACAAAGGGCAAAAAATACTTGAAGAGGTAAGAGACGAAAATTTTCCTAAATGAATAAAAGACAACAATGAACCCAAAAACTTCAGAGAACCACAAGCAGGATAAATACCTTATGTGTCACACAGATATATACACATATAACCATACCCATATCTAGATCCATCAAAGAATTTTATACTCAATAAGAGTATCTTTCAAAATAGAAAAAGACAAACTTCTCCTTATAAACAAAAGTAGATAGAATCCACTCCTAACAGACCTGTACAACGAGAAATTTTTAAGAAATAAAGAGCATTACAAATGGTAAAAATGAGAGCAAATGTTTGAAAAATTTCTCACATTGGGGCGCCTGGGTGGCTCAGTCAGTTAAATGTCTGCTTTCAGTTCAGGTCATGGTCTCAGGCTTCTGGGACTGAGACCAGGGATCATCTGATCATCTAGCTTCCTGCTCAGAGGGGAGTCTGCCTCTCCCTCCTCACCCTCCCCAATGTACTCTCTCTCTCTCTCAAATAAAAACTCTATAAATAGATAGATTATAGATAAAATAAAAATTTCTCATGTTTTTAAAAGATAACTGTCTACAGAAAAGTAATAATAAAGCTATATTACAGAGGATGGGAGGAAATGGAACTTTATGGTACTAAGATTCTTATGCTATACATGTAGTGGTATAATATTATTTGAAAGTAGACTAAGTTGAAATGTATATTATGAACAGTAGAAGACCAGTAAAAAATAAGAGATATAACTGAGAAGCCAATGGTAGAGATAAAATAGAATTATCATAAGAACTCAGCCAATCCAAAAGATGGAAGAAAAAAGAACAAAGAAGAGATGAAAAAACGTAGAATACAAAATAAAAAAAATTAAAATTAAAATGGCAGATTTAAATCCAACCATATCCATAATTACATTAAGGTAGATGATCTAAAGATATGAATGTTGATAATGGGGTGAGGCTGTGTGTGGAAGGCAGGGAATGCATGGTGTCTAAGGAAACTCTCAGTACCTTCTACTCAATTTCTGCTGTGAACCTAGAACTACTCTAAAAAGTAGGTCAATTTAAAAAAATATATAGTCATTTTTATAAATACTTGTCTGTCACCCCTGAATTAAGCTCCAGAAAGGCAGGGTCTGTAATTATCTTGTTCCCTGCTATATACTCAGTGCCTAGGAAAGTGTCCAACACAATGTTAAGCCCCTGCTTTCCTAATACATTTTACTTGTGGAAGAACATGGAGTGGTGCCTGGGAATGAATAAATCACTATATAGATGAATTATTAATAATGAAAGATATAACATAATAAAAAATGAATTGTAAGGAACATATTCCTAACTAAACGTTCCATTAAATGTCCTAACTAAACTAAATGTTACTGACTAAAATCTTTCACCATTATTTGTTGATCTCTAAAAATACTGCTCTGATTAAAAAAAAAAAAAAACCTCACACTGGAGGGGTGCTTAGGTGGCTCAGTTGGTTAAGCGTCTGACTTCAGCTCAGGTCATGATCCCAGGGTCCTGGGATCGAGCCCTACATTGTTGGGCTCCCTGCTCAATGGGAAGCCTGCTTCTCTCTCTGTCTTTTCCCCTGCTCGTGCTTTCTCTAATAAATAAAAATCTTAAAAAAAAAAAAACCCTGGAAAATAAACTCTCAAAATCACTTAGAACACAATAACCCTAAGTATACAATAGGTGTGCAAAAAACATATACACATTTTATATTTTATGGACAATATATATAATGAGAACAAAATGTAAAATACCAAATAAATATCACTGGAAAGACAGAGGTGGAGATTTTCAGATCGTGATAAATTCACTAGCTTTTCTTTGAATGAAACTATTTAATCCTCCCCTTCTAGTAACTAAAGAATACTTTTTCCTAAGCTAAATCTTCATTTAGAAAGTTGGTCAGATAATTATTCTGAAAATATCTACACAAACAGAAGTTTACAAGAAACACACAGCGATTAGCAGCAAATCACCTCTGCATCCACTGTATAAGATAAAACATACCATGTTATATTGCACAACTGGCACTATCAAAGGTTTGCTCTATCATCTCTTTTGAGGTAAATAAGTCTTAAAAAAAAAAAAAACTAAAAGAAAAACCACTTACTACTAATAGTCAACTAATCTATTTTCCCCCAAAAGGAAAAAGTTCAAAATAACAAGGTGTTTTATTTCCATATTCTTTTTATAGTTTGAGTAGTTTGTTCAGCACATTAATTCACTAAGAACCCACTATGCCACTGAGAATCTGGAATCTTTCATAAACTTAAATATTTTCTTATCTAAGAGTACACATTTGTGGAAACTAGTTTAAATGGGAAAAAATTGTCCTATTCAATTATTCCTTAATGTATTTATTGGAAAATGTCCCATTTATTTCCCTTTCTTCCGCTTCTTTTTAAAAACTATTTTCATTGTTTCATACTTTGCTAACATATAAATTTTTAAATATTCCAAATGTCTAATTAGTAACTATTTTCAACAAACTTAAAATAAAAAACAAAGCAATGTTTGACAAATACAGTACCTGACAGAAGATGTTCTTGGCCCATGATCTCTGGAATCCATTACCCAACCAACATGACACTCTAGAGGGGGATTTGTACTATGTCTTGTTTTTCTCTTTCTTGGACTCTAAAGAAAAAGAAGTCAAACATTGCAATTATTTCAGTAGTGTGAACTTCACAAGTAAATTGAAACCCTCTGACTGTAAACTAGCTCAAACATTTTCATACTGTAGATGACACATTATGAAATCACATGAAGTCACAAAACTTAAACATCTCACATACAAGTTACAAAACTTAACAAAGAAGGTCCTTTGCTAGGATTCAACCCAAGGATTAAAGGAAATACAATTTAGTGTGAGTCTTCATTATACCTTCTGATTAACATTAATTACGCTACAAATTTTAAGGAAGTTATTCCTTAACCTGAGAAAACATCACTGGTAAAATACCATTTTTAAGTGAGTTCTTACCATCTAAGATATATATTTTAAAAAATATGATAGAAACTAAAAAGTCTCATTTTGGAATGTTAAAGGATATAAAATGCAGCCTTTATATTCCAGTAGTTTTGTGTACCTTTACATCAATAGCTTTTGGTTCTTTAACAACAGGATAAAATCTTGGTGTTTTATTTGGATCTTGTAACCTAGGTGTTCGAGGTGTTTTAGGTGTTCTTCCAGGATAAATTCTAGGAGAATCTGGAACTGCTGTGGGCAATGAACGGGCCATTGTTGCTGAAGATATTTCTGAAACATCAAATAGCTTCCAGGCTAATTCATCACTTAAACCTGCAAAGCAAAAAAGTAGTTAAATGTATTTAGATGCTAAGAAAGGGGGCACCTGGTTGGCTCATGGCTTAAGCCTCTGTCTTCAGCTCAGGTCATGATCTCAGGGTCCTGGGATCAGCCCGCATCAGGCTCTCTGCTCAGCGGTGAGCATGCTTCCCTCCCTCTCTCTGCCTGCCTCTCTGCCTACTTGTGATCTCTCTGTGTCAAATAAATAAAATCTTAAAAAATATATATATGCTAAGAAAGTATTTTACTTGAGAACAAAAGTAATTCTGAAATTTTCCACTCTCAAAAGACTTTTTCATTAGAAACATTTAAATATGTAAGAATAAAAAATAAACACTGTCTGCACATTACCTACTTAACAAAATTTTAATTTTGCTCTGTTTCTGACTTTTGTAAAAAGGAAAATAGGCTGAAGCCCACTATATAACCTTTCCCAACCCTATTTCACTTCTCCTCAGAGACAACCAGGCTTTGAAATTTGGTATTTTTATCTATTATTATATACATATTTGTAATAACATTATTTTGTATAATTAACTTCACATAAATGACATCATACTATATGTATCATTTTACAAGCTTTTACAGTCATATTTTGAGACTTGATTATTCAAATTCTATTCATATGGCTTGGTTTATTCATTTTTATTGTAAGAGATTATGCTGTTATACAAATATATTAAAATTTCCATTCTCCTGAAGCTACACATTTATGTTATTTCTAAATTTTCGGCATAATCAAAGATGCTACTGTGAACATTGTTAAATATGTCTTTCTTTACAGGTATGAGCATGTCTCTAAGGTTCATATTTGTGAAATGGAAATGTTGACTAAAATGACATATGTATCTTCTGACTGATTACTGATTGTCAATGTGATTTCTATAATGAATGGTTTCACCAATTTATACTCCCAGCAGCAGCATGAAAAAGTCTCAGCAATTTAATACCCTGGCTAAGATTGGGTTTTGTTTAGAAGTTTAAATATTTTTCTATCTCATGGGATTTAAATGGTATTTATAATTCTTTGGTTCTAGTAAGCCTATTTTTATATGTATAGTCATCATTCAGATTTCCCCTATCTTGAGCTTACCATTCATATCCTGACCATATTTCTATTGGGTTGCTTTGCTTATTAATTAATTAGTTTGTGAAAATATCATGGTAATTAGATACTAATAAGTAAGCAAGCAGAATACAGACTCTGTTTCTGTTTCTATATGGTTTTTCTTCAGAATTATCAATTTGCTCATCAGTTCAATTTTTGTTCATCATTCAACAAATATTAAGTGCCTACTATATGCCAAGCATTATTCTAAACACAAGGCTATAAATTCAAAAGTGAACTTACCTACTCTATTACCTAATTTCCCTAACTTCCCCTTTCTCCTCCCATTCTGAATGGGAGATATCAGAACATTTTTTGAGGAGCAAATTAGGTGATTTCATGTATCTACTTACCCATCAGTGTGTTTCTTCTGCCTCCAGGAGAAGTCTAGTTCTTTATCGTGTCATATTAAGACTTTACTGATTTTGACTCCTCAACTGTCTTTCACCACTTCAGTTTTGGTGCCCCAGATAGCAACCTACTTGATCCTGTTTTCTTGCTTGATATCTTTTCATATGCTTTTTCCTCTCTCTGTAAGTCCCTTTCCCTTATCTTTTCACACCCAATTGAACTCATATCCTTCCTTTAATACCCAGCACAGATGTTACTTTCCCTGGGAACTTGAAGCATTACTTGAATATCTCTGCCAATAAAATTAATCAATTCTTCTTTTGTGACACCTCGGCATTTTCTTATTGTTTGATTTATTAAATTAGAATTTATTTTTTATATATTATCCCATTAGCCAGTAAAAACAAGTCCCAGTGGTTCCCTGAAAGCAAGGGCCACAATCTTATATTTGTATACAACTGCCTACAATAGTGTTAAACATACACCCACCAAATGACTGATAACTGAATTGTGTTAATACAGATTTTCCTTGGATCAAAAAGTTATACAATCACAAGTATAAAACTATGATTATACACTGAAAAATATGTCCAATTTAAAATTTAAATATTTAAAGATCTAGGAACAATAATAGTAAGCTTCCTAACATTCAGATTATGGTTTTCAAATTCCATTTCCCACTTGGTCCTCTAAAAGAAATAAAGTCTGGAGTACAAAGTATAATATGACCCTGAATTCAGTCAGAAAGCACTGAAATTAAAAAAGAAAAAAAAAACCCACAAAAACAAAAACTAGAATAGGTCATGAGGATACAGCAGCAAACTTCAGTGGACCCCACCAGCCAAAAATGAAGTACTCTAAACACTAAAAATAATGACTGAAATTGATTAAAGATGTCAAATAAGTAAGTTCTATGAATTCATAATGGTACCTTAAAACTTAATCACATGTGTAGGTTGCTAGGGCACAAAACTCATTGTTCTAAAAATTGATAAACTGAACACAGAGAAACAAGCATTTATCCTTCCTCTCCTGGAAAAATTGAAATTCAGAGTAACAAAAGAGTTGATAAAAGAACACTCTTATTTATAGAATTCTAGGTAAGAAACACAGAAGGAATGATAGAATTAAAAGATGACTTAAAAAAAGAGATCATTTTGCAAAATAAATAAATAAATAAAGATCATTTTGCAACTCTAATGAAATAGAAAATCTAGGGAATTTCCACCAATAACTCCTAAAACCACTTAGTAAAATGTTGAAAGGAGATTAAATATCAAAGATATGATCCCTGAAAGTAATAATTGATAAAGTGGACTTCACTAAAATGAAAAAAAAAAATCTGATACACGAATGACACTGTCAAGAGAATAAGAAAAGTCACAGGCTGAAAATATTTGCAAAAGACACATCTAATAGAGGACTTTTACGCAAAATATGTAAAGAACTCTTAAAATTCAACAATAAGAAAACAAGCCAATTAATAAATCTCAACAGATACATTAAAGCAGTGATATATGTGGCAAATAATCATAGGCAAAGATGTTCCACATCAGATGTCATTGGGGAAATATAAATGAAAGTCAAATACCACTATACACTTATGAGAATGGCCAAAATCTAGAATACTGGCAACACCAAATGCTTCCAAGGTTATGAAGCAACAGGATCTCTTATTCATTAGTGGTAGAAATGCAAAATGGTACAGTCACTTTGGAAGACAGTTTGGCAGTTTCGTACAAAGCTAAACATATCTTACTATAAGATCTAGGAATCATCCTCTTTGGTACATACTCAAAGGAGCTGCAAAGTTATGTCTACACAAAAACTTGCACATGGATGTCTAGGTACCTTTATTCATAACTGACAAAACTTGGGACCAATGAAGATGTCCTTCAGTAGGTGAATGGACAAACTATGGTATATATTATAGACAATGGAATATTATGCAGTGCCTAAAAACATATGAACCATGAAAAGACACAGATGAACTTTAAATGCACATTACTAAGTGAGAGAAACCAATGTGAAAAGGCTACTTACTGTAGAATTCCAACTATTCAATATTCTGGGAATGGAAAACTATGGAAACAGTGGAAAGGTTAATGGCTGCCAGCGGTTGGAGGTATGGTAGGGGAGAAGTGAATAGGTGAAATACAGAGGATTTTTACTTTGTATGACACTATAGTGATGGATACATGTCATTATACATTTGTCAAAACCCAAAGAATGTACAACTCCAGGAGTGAACACTAATGTAAACTATGGACTTTGGGTTATTATGATGTGTTGGTGTAGGTTCATCCATTGTAACAAATGCACCACTCTGATGTGGGATATTGCTATGAGGAAGCAGCATCCTTCACCAAATGGGTGATGGTCATGTAAGCTCAGGGCAGGGAGAAAAATGGGAAATCTTTGTATATTACCCTTAATTTTACTGTGACCCTAGAACTGTTCTAAAAGAACAAAGTCTTTAGAAAAAAGAAGTTGAAGGGAAACTTTATGATGAATGGGATCAGGCCAATAACATTTAAATCCAATGATCAATAATAGCAGCAGTAAGACAGACTAAAAGGCACTGTATGATGTAATTGGAAGTAAATAGCTCCTTCTAAGAAAAAGTCTTGCCACCAGAAAATTAAAATCCTGAATATACTTAATCTTCTATACCTAAGTACTAATTCATAGGTAATAGAGGAGATAAAGGAATACACTGATTGATATGAAGATAGAAACATGTAAATCTGGATCATAAGAAATCTTATGACAATTTAACCAGTTTTTTCAATGAGTCATTGGCATGGAAAAATAAGAGAAGAGGAATGCTTACAGATTAAGAGTAACTTAATTGTCCTATCGATCAAATGGAATGTATGTTTCTTTGTTCCTGATTCAAACAACCAACTTGAAAAAGATATATACCAGACATCACGGAAAACCAAACATAAACTGCACGTATATATGTTTGTGATATAAAATGAGGTACTTGCAGAAGTAATGGTATTTATTTGAATGAATGAGATTCAACATGAAATACCAAAAACATATAGGGAACAAGGTACGGATGAAAAAAAATGTCAAACTATTAACAGTTGTTAAAATTAGGTAAGAAAATTACATGGGGTTCATTAAAATTAGGTAAGAAAATTACATGGGGTCCCTTCTTTTGATTTTACCTGAACATTTCCATATTAGAAATTAAAGTTTTATATTTATTTTATTTTATTTAATTACATGTAAATTTTAACCACGAATAAGAGCAGATAGGTCAATTTTGCGAAGACTAGGATCTATAGAGTGTTATCTCAAAAGAAACATTTTATAAAATTTTTACAGTGTATCTATACCAATTTGCAATATTTTGAGATAAAATATCAAAAATGATTAAGATAACTGCAAATAGCTAAAATATTTACAGTAGATATAGAATTGTATTATTAGAAATATAAATCATTAGGTAACAAGAAATATATTAAAGTTATTTTTTAGACAATTATAAGCCCAGGATGCTATATGAATATCATCTTGACAT